TGTCTCCCTTCATGATTTCGCTTTTGGCTGCCGCTGCCGCCTTGTCTGTGAAGCTTGTCTTCCTTCATGATTTCGCTCTTGGCTGCCGCTGCCGCCTGGTCTCCCAAGCTTGTCTCCCTTCATGATTTCGCTCTTGGCTGCCGCTGCCGCCGTGGTTCCCAAGCTTGTCTCTGTTCCTGATTTCGCTGCTGCCGCCTTGTCATTTTCTTGCCTGCCTTTGACGCGGATGCTGCTATAAGATGATTTAGGTCTTGTTTACCTTTCCATCCTTTTCCCGGCTTTGAGTGGGATGTCTCCCAAGCTTGTCTCCCGCTCTTGCCATGCTATCCTTTTCTTGAAGTGCTATTTGGGGTCTATGCCGGTATAGTTTTGGATACCCAGCCTCACCTTGCTTCAGCAAATTCCACCACAAATTCCAGCCGGGGACATTTGTGCTTCGTGGCTGGCGGTGGCTGGGTGGATCCCCAGGATCACTCTAAGGCGTCACCTTTGGTTGGCAGAGCTTCCGGCGCTTTGAAGATGATCAGACAGATATTCGCCCCTTAGGCGACAATCCTTTCGAGCCAGTTGGGTCAGAGAAGGTTTAACATTATTTAATTGCTTCCCCTTGCAATGTTTATGATGTTCTTTGGTTTGCTGAGGACTTTACGTCCGCCAAGCCCAGAACGCAGCAGAGATCGAAGTGGAAGGCGATTCCGTAGCCGTAGAAGCTACCTTTACATACTCATAGAACCTCATAGACGATTACAATGGAAACTGTGCACATCTGTGCACAAGACTGGACATGGTGCATGATGCAGCATAACTTTGGAACGCGTCCATTCATTCAAGCTTACTGGCCCTTGTAGGCCAAAAACCTGGCCAGAATGCGTGCCAATGGAGTCGGAAGATATTTCGATATTTCTCATTGTTTGTAGCTAGATAGTTCTAAGCGGGTCACATGTGAAGCACGTCACGCTGCCTCTCGGGTAGCAGGACTCCATAGACGGCCGGTGTTTCTGTTCAACTCATGCTCCTCAGGAAGTGGAGGGCTGCATTGTGCCGTGGCTGTGATGTCGATGGAGGATGAATTGCCAAAAGCTTGGATGTCCATGGGCAGGAGCTCGAAGTAGGTCTTTTATGGTCTTTTGTTTTCAGAATGGCAACATGCTGCTGGTGTCAACCATTGGCATGCAAATGTGCAGGAAGCTTGCGCATGTGCCCCAACAAGCGCCCTTGCTTCTGATTGGGACTAGAAGTGCTTCTGGAATCTTGCACCTGTGGGATTGGTCGCTTCCCAGGCGGCCAGTTTGAGAGACTGCTATTCGATATCCTTCCTTCGCAGTGTAGATTGGTTGGAAATAGCGCACGCTGCAAGCGCAGCCTATTTTGGATGTCCTCCTGGTTCCAGATCGCGAGGAAGCTATTGGGTATAATGCGTGATTTGATCTTCTACAGTGCAATTAAATCAGGCGACTGCGGCCAGGGCCAAATGCAGGACAACCAATGTTCCATCTTGGGCCCTAGCCTTCTTTGTCCTTATACTGAAATATATATATATCTAGTTGGTCCAAAGGTTCGCGTTCCCCGTGTATTTTTTTGGGTGCGCAGAACATAAATTTAGACCATTCCCATCAAGCATTCACATATTGCACCCGTGACATCTCGTGGAATTTTGTATTGCATCGACTCATCGACCGACTAAATTATTTGGAGGACTTGCATGTTAGCTGCCCGCAAGGCTGCTGACATGCTTCCCCCAAACCAGCAGCATGTTGAAAGTTCCTGCATTAGCATTCAATTAAGGGGCCCGGTAAGACTATGCTGAAGGCAGTGTGCGTGTGTCACCCTCTGTTCCAAAGAGTTTTCAGAAAGCAGGGGGCCACCGGGGTCCCAGAGGAGCGGTGGCCAACGAAGACCTCCTTTGGGACCCCTGTAAACGTGCCTGCATTTTTAATATATAACATTATATAACTGTTTAAACCGCCGTTTCGTGAGCTGCAGATGTGCACAAACCATTTGTTGAAACACCTTCAAGTCTTTGGACGCATCACCTTTCCGTTGAGCCACTCTTTCCCTCGGGGACCGCCGTTCTCGTGAGCTGCAGATGTGCACAAACCATTTGTTGAAACACCTTCAAGTCTTTGGACGCATCACCTTTTCGTTGAGCCACCCTTTTCCTCGGGGAATGGATGTAACTGCAAACGTCTAAGTGTGTGTGTGTGTGTGCGCGTGTGACCTTGGATTCACAAGGGCCTTTTGGCTTTGCATTCATTCCCTTTCTTTTTCCTAGTTGGCAGGGGGCGATCCCTCTCACCATTAGTGGATTGCCAACGAAGAGGCCAATAGAGCTGCAAAGTTACTTGCAATTTGTCGTGCACCTGGGCGCATTTAAGACGCAGCTGGTGACCACTCGTTGGACCCAGGATTCTTTCGCTCAGGCCTTTGTCTCTCAATCTTGAGCGCCCGGAGTCAGCATGTAGCGCCCCGTGGCCCAGTTGAACTGGGGTTTGGAGTTTCCACCGTCGTGGTGGGCAGAGCAGGCCGGAGCGGTCATTAGGAGCCTTGGGTTCAGATATGTTCCGATGTGCGTCACTGAGTTCACACTTGGAGCAGGCCGTAGGGTCAGGAGCAGTCCACAGCGGACACGAGCTGCCCAATTCATGGCATGGCTGAGCAGTCCACAGCTGTCCGAGATTTGAATCCAAGATCAAGTGATCTCCGTCCGCCCTGAGCTTCATGTTTTTTGCCCACTCGCCCCCGTCCCGCTGGACTGGAGTCGCTAGATCCTCTCGTTTTTCTTTGAGCGTGCGTGCCCTCACCAGACCACTCCTGGATCCATTAGCGCGCAATCCACAGCGAGACATAACACACACACACACACTCTTAGATTCATAGCTCAAATGAATGAGCATGATTTTCAGAAAGTCATTCGCCGATGAATACTTAGCCCTTGACCAGTGGTGATCCGGAGAAGCCTCCGGAAAACGTGATTCGGGATTCGCGTTTCGTGATTCGGGATTCGCGAATCAC